TGAAGTAGTACTGAAGAGTATATTCGCTCTCATTCATCGGATGCAGGATCGCGCATGGTAACTTGAAAACAGTCTTAACACAACGCAGAGTACCTCTGTAGGTTACAGGCACATGTCAGTATTCATCCTCCATTGTCAACTCCTCTGCCGGATGTCCCTACCTTCTAGGCCGTATTCGGCAGAGAAAAATACCTTGCTACAACGATGTGGCAGATCTGTCATTGTTGATCATGTTTAACGTCGCTTGCCCATCGAAGCATCTTGTTTGTGTCGATTAACGTGAATCATGTCACGTATATTTCACGAAGTGATATGAGAAGGACGTATTTAATGCATTTAGGAACATAACACCGTTGCTCGATGAGGTCTAAAACGAAACAAAACATAGGAATAATAAATCATCGTCAATCAGGACCAAAGAGGACAAATAGGACAGATTTGCTCATATTACCGTTACGGCGGCAGTATGTACTCTATCGAATATATACATATAAAATGCTGCTTTAAAGGAAGTATAGCTTTTTCGTTTTTATCTGGTGATGGTATATTCCAGCCGCCCGGTGGGTGGTCAGATAAGTCGATACCTCCTTTGGAAAAACGTCGCTTCATCTTGCGGCTGACCAGAGACGTGCTAGATATAATTTCCAGAAAAATGGAGTACGCTAATGACAAAGGTTATAGCATCGGTAGCAGCTCTCACAAGAGCGCTGTCGTACGCGCATTTTTCAGACCTGTCCCACAACAGCGCTACAGGTTCGAAGACAGATCGTGGGTGCCTGTGAAACGCCTGCAGGCCTTCTTGGTCTTCCGCATCGTCTCACTCAGCAAAAATAGCAGGACTGTGTTTCACTCTATAATAGTAGCAGTGAGGTAAGTGGAATGATCCGACTGGTGACAAGTAAACGGCGAAAGCCCCTGTATCGAAACGTAGCGCAGCTAAAGGCACCTTGAACAGCTAGCTAGCTACCAAACGACGAGGTTCAAGGCGATGTGCTGGCTTCATACTCAATGAGAATAGCCTCTATTGTTATGAAGAGATATTATGCCTTGAGGAGTATGGGGATTGTTAATCTGGTGATGGTGCTATCGTTTTACGGTCATCGTTACTGCGTGAATCTAGCTATTTTTGCAGCAACTCGAGTAGGCAAATAAGTAGCGAGAAGAATAACTGCGGTGATGTCTTCGTTAGATGAAATACACTTTACAATTTACTTTAGTACTAAGAATAGCTTGGATATAATATAATAGACTGAAAGCAAACAATGGATGGTCATCAACAAATCCTATTGAATATGTTTAAATTAGATTCTGTCCGGGTTAAACCTGGCTAGATTTTAGGGGGGTTAATCGCAGACAAAGCCAGACCGCTAGGAAGTACGACGAAGTAACGCTAGCGTCCAGATGATATGACAGCTATGGTAAAACATCAGTTCGCATTGCTCGATACACTAAAGGGGGGCGGGAACAGATTTTCTAAGACAAGACTCGTTTGCTACTAGGATCCACAAAGGCTACCGCGTAGAACACTTTAATTCTTAACGTGCATGAAGTGCTTTTCTTTTATCTTACAAATATTAAGTAGATAAGTTCATGTAAGTGAAGAAGCTTGCTAAATCGAACTCTGGATGCTCGCAAGATGTTTAAGCCATCTACTTGTAGTGTGATAGCAATTTCGCAGAAAGCCTTTCTCTTCTTAAGCCTGAAAGATATAGGAGTGCTCTGATTGGAATGTCTCTCTATTAGTGCTGAACATGGATGATGTCACAATGAAGAACGCCACGTTAAATTGCGGATTGTTTCCAGTCGAAAAGACGAATTGTTTAAGTACGAGACAACAATGTGCTTGCGTTTTTTTTAAATACTTCCAACCATAAAGAACTCACTACGAGCGCACTAGGAAATATAGATGCTTGAATAAATCACTATTACCTATATTTGGGAGCAGACAAGTAGCGTAAATTAGCCTATCTATAAAACCATAGGTAAAAATTCACCACTAGATGATGCTTGTGACAATAATGAGCTTATACGTACAAAAGGTCCGAAATGCTTATGCAAACATCTCGTAATCAAGGTTGGCTTAGCGGTGGCCAGACGAAGCTAAACATATACAATCGCCAATTTGCTATTGTAAAAAGTACATCATGACCAAGCCAGACATGACTTACCATTAACTGCATTGCTTGACCGCTGTTCCACAGGTTTTCGAACAAAAACAATAGACCTCCCCATTGAGGCAGTGGGGTCAGGACATTAATCCGGGTTTAGCCTGTGTTTAATGGATTGTACGAGTAATATCCGTTAACGAACTTTGAACAAAATGGCTTCATCCTCAGATTCTCTCCGATCTTACAGAATTAATCTAATAACCCGCGTAACAAACTGATTGTGATAAAAGCATAGAGCGAAAGATAAGACGAGTCATTACTCCATCTCGTAACAAAACACCTATGGCAAGTCTATTAACAACAAATAATATGTTTATTATGATCAAACTGGTAGCTCCGATGTCCTTGTATGTAAATCCACAAGCTCATCTCAAGTTTTTCCAGATAAAGGCGAGCGTTTTTTTGCTAGCTAGTTTAGCTAATTCTGCTAATAATGAATTTATTATATGCTTATAAATATCTGAGATAGGTGTCGATAAACTAATGACGAGTATTCCACAGATAATTCTCCAGTCTTCAAAAACTTCACGTTCTACGAAGGATACTGACAGAGATAAAGCGTATTAAAGCTTTGAAAGGCAGGACACGACAGCCAGCATATAGGAACACTGTGGTACTAATTGTTAATAGCACTAAAAAATAGTACGAAAATAGTTGACTGGACATAGCTGATCTTGTGTGTTTTTACAGAATGCCACTAGATCCACTCCAGTAAATTAATGTATAAATAAATAACAATAATACCCTATCTGTTAATGGTTTAGAGAGAGGGTTCATATAAGTCGGGCCGTCTCATCGTATTTTGCTAAAGATTCGGAAATCTTGCAAACAAAAGCAAAAAACGGACAAAGCAGGACCACTCATAGATATTGAAGTACTACAACAGGAATAAGCGTAAATTAGGACAACATGCATGGATAACATGCCTGATCGAATGTCAACCTGTAGATTCAACCGGGTTGTTCTTTAGGTCATGTAGCGTTGTAGTATTGCCCATTATATAGCTTGCACATCCTCCCGTTACGCAACTGTTCTCCGCTCTCATTTTGATATTTGTATTGTTTCAGTTTATTTCTCTCTATCTCTTATCTCTAGTTCAGCGAAACCCTTAGTTCTTCCCTATTTGTTTGTGTTGGGTAGCCAAGATAAGCACAAAAGTGGTACTATATCATTGTGATGTTTGCCGAATGTGTATAGCTAGAAAGATCCTACAAGTTCGACGAAGGAGGCTGATATGAAACACTAGCTAATACAGGATGTTACGTATTATCCTGTGATTTTCCTTGACTTCAGATCCAGAGTGATACTATGATAGGATCAACACTGTATAGTGCCACGACTGTGAGGCAAAGGCCAAAGAAAGCTTGAAAGGGCCGACACTACGGCGATTGAGGGGTCCAAACGCCAAGAGTCGAGGCAGTAGGCCGAGCAACCAGCCAAAACTCTAGCTGGTGTCAAGGAGAACAATTTCTTTCCAGCTCCTTTGACACGCGTAACCTGATTACCCAGTGAAATAGTGCAAGAGAAAAAAACCAACGGAAGTATAATCTAAACACCGGGATTGTAGAGGACAGCGAGGTAACCTAATGCATTTTTCTTTATAAAGACACCAGGAAAAAGTCAAAAGAGGCTGAAAGGAATCAACACTGCGTTGACGACTATCGACTTGGGTAATAACTATTATAAGTGAAAAAATGTGTATATTTATAAATAATGTTTGCAATCATATATGTTTACACTTGCGTATTGAAATATATCATTATGAAAGCTGGACAATGTAAAATATAATATCCTGGTATATGCTTTCTGGTAGTGTCACTGTTATTCGGAATGCTAAAGCATGATGTATGTATTTTCAAGTACTGAAAGTTTCTTCTACAATGTGCTTTGCCGTTGCACATATTTCACACACAAAACGTATCTGTATTTAGAACGCGACATCGATCAGAATGTGTTTTGTTAGATCGATGGTGGGAAATATATGTACAACGATAGGTTCCTTGTTGTAGACCAATAATACTTAACCTAAGAGAAACAGTGGTAGTATGTTAAGCAATCCTAAAAGGGTAAAATTCTGCATTTATGTATCTGTCTGAACTAAGACTAGTAAAATTATACTAAATCTCGACAAGGCTGAGGAATTTTTCGGAGTTTATTAAAACTTTTAATACATTAATTCGTAATAAAGGCTTGATTTTTTTGGCCTGATTATATGATGACAAGTACCTGATATGGCAAGACTTTATTCATTTATCTATTTTATTTTCAAAAACGCGACTGTTAGATTCTAGAACAAGTTATAAGAAACAGCTAGCACTAAACACCTATGTTATCCGTATTACATATACAAGAACGTAAAATGTATCGGTAATGGTGTAGATTTAAAAGCTGACTGATCTGAACTGACACATCTGATGTTTAGAATCATAGTTAAGCCAGCGCCGGGCGTAACCTTTATTCATTGGTATGAAACCATTCGATTACCTGTCCTATTCCTACATGGTCATCTATCTGAGCCTATACACACGCACCCAGACACTAAAGGCACATAAACAGCCAGCGTTTTGAGTTTTTGGGCTTCATAGAGTGCAAAAGAGCACACTGCCAGTCAAACATCATTTATTATCGTGAGCATCAGCAGCTTTTTACAGTCAAAGGCTAAGTGGTGAAGTGAACTTTTCTGTGGATAAGGCGTTACCCTATTCTAGGCGCCGGTTCGCGGCCGTTGGCCCTGCTGCTCTCGTTGTCGTTCGGCCTGTCTGGTGAGAGCTCTAGTGGCGAGAGTGCGCCCTAGCAGAGAGGCCATGCGGGAAAGGGTAGAGGCCACGAGGTCCGACCAGACGGCAGCATCCGACTAGCAGGATTCATCTCCCGGACCTACCGGAAGAGTATAAGGCCAGCGTGCGTATAAATGTGTGAAGGTGCATCAATGGCGAACCTGTAAATCTTCGAATCGTAACAGACGGACCTGCAAAGCTCTTACAACCCGAACATTTCTAGGATACGTGAAAATTGGAAAGACGTCCGCTTGCCCTTGTACTATCGATAATTTTAATAAAGTGGTTACAATGATGATGCCTGGAGTTTTTGGTTCTAGAAGGTTGCCGGCATAATCTGTCAAGTGTACAGTTTATCATTTGCGACGCGCACTAACAAGCTTTGAGTATAGCAACCTAACGTTACTTTCCTTATCTGTTTTACCCTGCCTGATGTTTTTCAGCTGTCAATAGCGGCCGCTGTAAAAATTTCGCGCGTTTCCCGCAGTTTGAATAATTATTAACGCTGTACATTTTGGAATATTACTGCTGCGATCGTGGAGTGCGGAGTCCTGTCTTTCAAGCGAAACCCCGTCAGATGGAGCGATTCGTCAAATTTGACACCCTAGACCGACCACCCTACGAGCCAAACATAAGCGAGAAGTGACTTAATGTCAGTGCTCAGTGTCGCTTTCGTATTTAAACGTTTGAACTACTATCCTTACTTGGCTGGCTCAGACGGCATCGACAACACATCGATGTTCAATACGTTCTCGTGTCCATGCGTGAACTGATTTCTTTTGACTCATGATGTTGCAGTGACTGCGCCTATTTCTCCAATCTTTTCGTGCCAAAGGTACCTGGCCGTCGATATAGGTGATAGGACCGTCCTGTCAACTGGATCACGGGTGCCCACTACCGATACTATAATAACTTAGTCGCCTTCCAATTGCAACAAGTATATTACGACTGGAACTACATCACGGACACGCCCTGTCAGCCGTTCTTGGTCGCTGTCTGTTCGCATCCTCACTGATACGCTACTAGATATCGGCGGCTAAGCGAAGATAAGGGCGATCTAGCTATTTGCACGCAGGCGCAAGAGCTTTAAGAGGAAATAATTATTGACAAGGCCGCACTAAAAAATAAGCTTGGTCTGTTTCGGCGTTTTTTGTCGTTGACCGAGGATGTCACACGGATGCACGGGCGTGGGTGATGTTCCGCGATGATCGACAAGTCAGCAACGTAGTGTTTATAATACGAGCGAGTGTACACTCCGCGCGTCTGCGACTCCTGGCACCGTTCACCCGCTGATGGTGAGTGATGACAGCGGCATTGAGCTCTTCGTAGCCGAAGCCCACAGCCCGGTTGCCTTTGAAGGGAACTGCAATGGCGACAATAGCGACGATTAACTTCGTAACCGAGTGAAGCCACAGAATTCCTACGAAACAGCGTGTGTCACTTTGGCTGACTTCGATTCGGTGGCCCACGCGCGGACTCAAGTTGCTGTCGGTAATAATAGTCGCCTCATGCCCCTGGTAGCAATTCGCTGATTAACTCTATTCGCGTCCACCCCAGCCCGGCTTAGAAGAAAACGAGCGGATGAGTCCGTCGTTGTCTAGTAATATTTGATCTGACTAGCGAAAGTGACTTGATCGGTCCCTGTAGGCGTGCACGGTGGCAGAAGAGCGGGAAAACCTGGATCTGCCTCGTTGTTATTGCTGTCAGCGTACGTAGAAGACAGCAGAACAAGTCAACGGAGGAAAACTCTGTGTTGTCTATATGGCCAAAGGCATCACCTCGTAACTAGCTCTACAATTAAACCGTCTGTTACATTAGTTTGCTCCGGAAAAGAAAGAACGAGAAACAACGAGGCAAGGGCTGAAATTGTCCTATTATTCAGTGATTCTTCCAGTATTTTTCGCTATCGCATCAACACGAGCGGAGCGTGAGGTCAACAACAGAAGATGTTAAACAAAACGCCAGCAAAATAGCAAGGTCTGTTAATGTGGCCCAAGCACTTCTTTCAATTTGGCTCTTGTCATCATTCGTCTTCAAAAACGCAGCCCATCATGTTGCTACCGGTCTCAACCTTGTGAAAACAGCGGTTCAAATTGCCATGGGTGAATTAATTCACGGTGACCCGCTGATATCATTTCATGGCAGAAACAGACAGTCACGCCATGACAAGTAACCGTTAAGGCGTCAGCTAGTTCAATTATTCGAAATAACCGTTAACCAATTAACCATAGCTATTGCAGTTGTCCACATCAGAGGCTGGGCCATCGTAGAGCACCACTATGTCCTATATTCCACTGGTTATAACTGATTAAGGGATCAATATATTGTTTATATGATATGAAGATCAGCAAGCGGTGCTAAGGAAATACAACACAGTGTCTAAGGCTATAAGATGTGGCTTATAATTGGACACATATTCACAGCTGCTCACATCTAATTATATATATATATATATATATATATATACTACACGATAAATCTGGCTAAACAAACATGGAGCAATATGCATAGTCTGCCAACGAGCTCTTAACTCCAGTAACAGTAGTAGCTATACAAGGAATTACTTGTATCGCCCTGATTAAAACACGTAGCAGATAACATACGACATAACGTTAAGACGGTTAAACGTGGAGGCGACTTCACGCAGCGACTGTGTCATAATTTGTCGTCAAATCAACATTTGCAGTAGTAGTAATCGTATGAGGAGCATCAGATCAGTAGCGACAGCTACAAAATCGACATCGTTACTGAAATCATCATCACTCAGAACGGCCTCAGCTATCAGTATATTTGTTTGCGTGTGTGTATTTTTGTGTTTGGTAACCATCGTTCAAGAACGTCTGTTGAGGTATTTACCTTGTAGTCGGCCAGTTTTGCTCCGCGGTCTTCTGGTGGCTGGACCCCGCGGCTCGTTGATGTCGTTTTAGCACAAATCAAGTACGCGCATCCAGACGTCAGACTGCGGTACCGACCCGTTGTAAGCGCCGGTTAATTTAGCCGTCTGCGGGTAACTGTCGCTTTGCTTACCCTCTTGAATTCTTGTTTTCTCGACTATTTAGACGACATTTAGCGCACCGCCTACACAGCCGTCCCAACGTCGGGCGTGATGGAGGCGCTAACGGCACTGCAGAATGTGTCAGTCGATAGTGTCATCCGACTGGCGAACGACGAACACGTCTATTTACAAGATCTGTTAAGCAACTGCACGAATGGTAAATTCAATATGTCAGAACCCCTCAATCTACGGATACTGGCCGAAGACCCACAAATGGCACAGGTTCTCTCTAACTGTTCGCTCATGGAGTTCAGCAACACGGAGGCGCCACTGGCGATGGTGCGAATCACTACGATCCTATACTTAATCATCTGCCTTGTCGGATTGTGTGGTAACTCGCTTGTGATCTACGTAGTGTTCCGATTCTCGAAAATGCAAACCGTGACTAATATGTACATCTTCAATTTGGCGCTTGCCGACGTGATGTTTCTGTTCGGACTGCCGTTCCTCATTACGACAATGACCACTCGAGACTGGATATTTGGCCAAGCCATGTGCAAGGTAGCGTAGTGCATCGTAGCTAACTATCGTACATGTAAGGGAAAACTAGGATAAGTCGAAAGGAATAATGGTAAAATACCTGTTACAATAGAAAGAACGACTTTGTTGGGCGCCCGTCGCCTCGTTCTCGCGGGCATGCCAACTTCAAGTAAATTTCTATGTACCTTTATTAGCTTGCTGTTTTCTTGCTCTCATTAGGCGTGACGGTGACAGCGAAGTCGGAGCTGCTGCCCCCCGTTCTTTCGTCAAGCCCCCAAATTGTTAAACTCTATGAACCATTTATTTTGCACCGACCGTTCGCGTCATCGCGTAAGGGCCCGCTTACATTTCAGATTTTATTTATCATCGATTTGCGAGACGAGTCAAAGGTAAACATTACTATGTGTACTTTTATCGAAATACAGTGATATCGAAAACCAGCAAAACAAACACAAACGAATTAGCAATTCAACTAATTCCAACCAAAATGGGACAAGCTGGTTATTTGTCGAAAACAAAAATACCCCTTAGTGATCGTGATAGTAGGTGAGCATCTAAGTGCACGAATATAGCAGTTCCAAAAACCTACGAGTTCTTATAGATATCATTCCGGTATTTTGCAGCGTGGTCGTACTGAAGGCCAAAGACAGGTTGCCTACACCCATATGTAGGCCTTTCCCCCTCGGCCACCTTGTTTGCATAGCAAAAAATGCCTTGATTCGCACATCATGAACAACAGATCAACCCGAAAAACAGAAGTCTAGAATAACTGGGGTGTAAAAACAAATCGATCGCACACAATCGATGGTTGCCGTGACCATCAATTACAAGGTGGATCTAGAAATGTCTGCCGGCCATAGATCAGAAGACGTACGCGTGGTTACAACAATGTATAGCCATAACGCCCCGTTCGTACTTTACGTTTCGTGCCCGTGAAATTTGATGGAACACATTTATCCACGTATGTGATCAGGGAAATTTTCTTAGCATAAAAAAACAACAACGACGAATATTATAACTGCCATCGAGTATTATAGACGTTGATCCATATTGATTTGAATAGGCAGCCATACCGGTTTACAACGTATTAGATGCAAAGACTCATACGAAAATTTATTTTTTATCTTTAATTAGGCAAATAGCTACAATATACTACAAAACTTTGTTGTCACATTGCGGAAAATGTTTCGCACAACGAATACATTTTTCTTATTATAACGTCGGTACAACGACTGACTACCACGTTTTTTTACATGATTTTTCAATTTACATCCTGTGTTAATGCTTTAGAATTTCTCTCATGAACTCTTCCTTGGGCCAACTATGTCGACACCTACAGTGAGCGACAAAAAAAAGCATGTCCACAAGATGCTTTAACAATGAAGGCAACTCCAAACCAGATCGCGTGACGGTTGTATTCGATATTCTATTTATGCATACGAAACGAGCAATGGAATATCCTTATACTGGTTTGAGAAAGTAAAGAATATCTGACGTATGCTATTGTCATACAAGTTCACTTGTTTAGAAAAGGAGGGATCGTGATCCATTTGGTACTGCAAGCAAAAACAAAATGAGACTTCAAGTTAAAGTTTTAGGGTTGAAGTGGCTTTGCACCCCACAACGACCAATGCATTCTCCTTTTCTAGAAATATCGTTTTGATAGTCGATAGCAAGTTGCACCTCAGACGGCATCAACTTACTTTACGACTTCCGAAACATGCCCCGAACCACCAAACATTTACGGTTAATCGTTCAGTGAGTTGTTTCTCATTGTAAGCTGCTTTTAAGCGGATCTGTTCGAAAAATGCACCATGTTTGCTTAAACAAAAGCATTTTGTCGGTATATGATTCGTCTATGAAGGAAATGTTCCTCGGCAACCAATAGCCACCTTTTACCGTGAAAATACACATTGTCACTTACTGTAGACTTTATTGTTAACAACCACCAAAGTTGTCATGTGAAATAATATCCTCGAATGGAATAACCGCTGCTTTCCGTAAGTGTTTTCCTGAAAGGCGCGCGCCCTCTCAAGTCGAGCAGTTATGTACATGGTTAGAGGGAATCCTAGAGGTCGGTATAGGGGGCTTTCTATCGAAGCTTTCCTGTTCGTTGTTCCCCGACCATCATTAAGGCAGTATCGAATCGGTCGATCCTAGCAGAATGCGGTTAATAAAAGCAACAGCGAGACACATTATTGTACAAATAACCAGTTAAATAAACCGTAGATCGTTTACGTGGTCGTCGGCGATTGCCGTGTTTTCAATTAGCAGTTTACAACACATGCTGGGAGGTTACCGAACGTTTCCGATGAGACTCCATTAACGGGTCGGCTTGCGTCAGATGGAGCTGGCATCAAATTGTCTTACATAATACTCAGCGCTTTTTTCTTAAGCTCACCATTGGTGGCCTATTATTACATTCTGCAAGCACTTACGTACCATTTATCGGTTCAATACTTCTACAATAATAATTATATTATCTCTCACCCATGATCCTAGCCCCGGGACACCCTGATCGCTTCCGCAAGGACAAGCTCTATGTTCAAGGAAGCTATAGGAGATTAAATGCGTCGCGTATTTACCGCACTCACTAGCTAGCAAGACCAAGCAGGGCAAAGCATTCTCTGTCAAGGGCTTTATGCAGAGAGACGTTTGTCCTTCGGCTGTGCATTTCTTGCTGACGTTTGCCTCTTTCTAACACACGGCTTACTAAAAAAGCCCGCTCATCGTTATGCTATAGGTCGGAAAAAAGGACAACAAAATCATCTGTATTAGGTGCTGTACCGCGCGGCGCTGTCGTTACGACTACATATAAGACTGCCGGAGATCTAATTTTATCACTTCGTCTAGTGAAGAACAAGGTGAACATTTACATTGCTTAACAACATCCTGAAACAGTCAGCTCTAGATGGAATCGACAAGAGTACCAGGTATTGTGGTAGCTACCAGGTAGCTTATGGGTGTAGTATGTGATTTGTATTGTAAGAGAATTGATGTTATTGTGCATTATCTTTGCCCACCTGCTCCGTGCCCCCTTCAGTCCTTTCATGAATGAATCCCTGCTTACGCGTAGAAATTTCTGTGTGTGTTTATGCCGCTACATACTTTGTTGATGAGACTGAGGGGGCCGGAAGGGGGGAGGGGAGGTAGAAGTCTAATGAGTGTGTAGCCGATAGATGGCACAATTAACCGCTGACATTCAGTCCTTGTTCAAAAGCTGTTCGCTAAATCCATAAAGTTACTTGCTTGAGCCGAGATCCGAAAAGTATGAAATGCAAGTAACGAAAACTAAAGCCATAGCATAGCTATTTACTATCCGTAGGAGCTAATGCCAGTCTGAAGGTTCTAAGAAAGTTTGACGACACTTTTTATATAGTACATTCAACATATGAAGCAAAAATCAACTATAGACAGATGCTTTTTCATTGAATCTATAAGATCCGCTTATGTTCAGTTGATTAGTCCTCTCCTCAGACTAGGTATAACATGTTTTCTGAATCAACGTTCGCCTAGAGTGTGTTCCAGCTTTCTCCTCTGGGGTCTCTTCCGACGCGATCACGGAAGCCGTGAGGTGCGCTCGTGGAGAACGCGAAACTATGAACTAGGTATGAATACCCTGAAGTGAAAGGCGGTGTCGACATATGCACTGGAAGTGATGAGTATTAGGGCAACCTGCTTGGTCTTTCAAAGTCCAGATGGTTCTGATGGGTTGTTGACAGGGTACCGACAAGTAAGATCTTGCCTTAGCATACATGCTCGACCAACACAGTTTTAGGTATGCTACATATGTTTAGATACTTCAAGAGAGACCGCTTCTTGCGAAGTATTTCGGAGAGCACTATTTATCTTATTTTCATCATACCATCAAACCAAGCAAGGATGAAGTTTTGAGTGCGTAATCAGGCCCCATGTATTACTGGCCTTAGCCATCTTCTGCACTTTTTGCTTGTAGTGTTTTAAGTATTTTAGCGCCTTTACCTTGAAGCGATTCGTCCTACGTGTGATCCCGCTGGTCTTAGGTCGAAGATTCCTACTGTTTGCTAGTATTGCGTCATTTCGTTAAGGGTGGCTCAAAACACTTTTCTCTGTTTTTCAGGTATGTTCATAACTTTGGTAGCAGTAAGACATTGGTCGATATTTCTTAGCATTTTCTTGAAAACTGTTATTGGCATAGGTGCGAACCCCATTCTGCGGGAAGGGCAATGAACTCCGGCAGTGCTCGTGCGGTGGATGTAGAACGAGACTGGATAAGGACTGCATGCGTTGGAGCTGGCCACTCTGTGTGGAACTGCGTCCGGCGCGACTTGGCATTTTAGGGTCAGATTTTCTTTACGTCACGGACAGCAGATCAATTTGTTCTATTCTAAACGCCGGAACTCTCAGTCTCCCGCTAGAGGAGCTGCCTTGCCCCCATGGCCTCCTGCTTGGCAAAACGAGCAATGGGCCGTGCTGAAACAAGCACACTAGACTTGGTGGTCAAATGTTCCGATAAGAATTCCAGACCGACGATTGGGTAGCTGATGGCGGTAAACGCACAAAAAAAAATGAGCGAACTAACAAAGAGCATATTAGTCTAATAAATGGTATCTGCTTTTGTCATATCTAATTCGGTTCCTGGGTTCCCGGGTAAAGTACCACCGCAATGCTTGGAAAAGATGGAGGCGTTGTGGATGTGTGGCGCCACACCCTTTATCCAGAGTGCGAACTGCTTTAAGTAGTGATACAGTTTATCTGACACTGAAAATATTAGCAGCTATTATTCATCCGTCAGCACATTGCTATGTGGCAGGAATCAGGACATAAAGCTCCTTTCTCTATCCGCGAAGGGAACATCGGCTAAGGCGAACACTCCTCACAGCAGCGCTACCTAGGAAGGCATCATCAGGCTGACGTTACGATTTGCTTTCAGCTTAATGAAAGAATATCAGATATCTTTGACTGGGTTTGTTTTTAGAGTCGTCCAGCACTCATTAAAAATGATCTTAGATAGTCATGTTTATATCAGCGTTTGCGGTATT